TTACCTATTATCTGAAACCTAACAAAAGTGTAGGAGTACAGAAAAACATTACGTTATGTTTTATCACATTAAGACATGTTTATATGTCTATATAAGAGAATGTTATCTTTCTGTTGCAAATATATTTACCCAATAAACTCTGTTAAACTCAATTAATAAAAAATTAAAGTAAAAAACAATGCGATCAAAGAGTTTCCAATGTTGTTTGTCAAGCCAGATTTGGGTGTTGGTATATTATGCCGATATCTCTGTTTTTCACAAAGCCCCATCCAGTCTTAATCATCATTGAAAAGGTGATCTAATTGTACTGTTCAAGGCAAAGTTTATTGGCCCCTGGTATGCAGCTTACCATTAGATATATGTATAATTGAGGTGTTCAGTCAGTTTAGACCACACCTTGGCCAGGTGCACTGAAAAGGTGACGGTTTCTCCCTTTTTGGAGTGACAGAGTGCAAAATGAGACGTGATGGAGAACACATAGATATCAGGGCAGAGAAGGACATATGGACTTAGACTTATTTTTCATGTTTATTGTTTTGGATACAGAGAAGTCCAAGTTGTAAGTTTTGCATTTTTATGAGTCGTTACTTTCTGGCAGGGAGTGGAGGCCTAAACCAGAGCAATGAAGCAAAGGAAATTCACCACTGTGTTGACTGTTGCACCAGAGGAAATACTGTATTGATCTCCAGGAACGGCACGCTATGCAAGTTCAAAGCCCCTTCCTGCATTAGCATACTGGTTTAATCTAGTCCAAAAATTTCCATGAAAAGGTTACTGCAAATTTAAATGCTGTCGGGTTTTGCCACTTGCCATTGGTGCTTGACTTTAATCTTCCATGTGTCTGGCTGAGCTGAAATCAATCACAAGGTGATATAGGTGTGGGAAACAAGTTATGAGAAAAGTAACTTGTTGACAAAGAGAGGAGTAAAAACTTGGCGTTAGCTTACTGATGTCAGATATTTTATCCAAATAACAGTAGAAAAAGGGCAGTCATCTTAACTCAAGCATTAGAATTTAGGGATCATTGGGATATAAGATGTCAGGAGGAATTTGTTTCTCACTTGGAGATTTATGATTCTAACAAGCTTAAAGTGCATTTATGTTTAGTTGCACACATTTAAATGTCATTTAAGATTATACAGAATAAGACAAAAAAAGCCTTTTAAAAATTACCTTAGGAGTGCACTTAAATTGCATAATAACCAGGTAGACCAGTCTACTTCAACTGTGAGGATGCATGTTTGCATGCTTTCCCTGATAGATAATGATTGAAGAAAACAGGCCATTTACACTAACACATGGTAATTGTCATGTTGAAATGGATGTCTTCCTGGGACTGACATCACCTTATAAAAGTGATCAATTTTTAGTGCTTTTGAACTTGTGATAAAACAAGTAAAAAAACATTGCTCCTCATGGCACATCAATCTTTGGTGTATTCATCTTCTCATCTAAATTACTTTGTGTACACAAATGTGTTATGAAAAATGCCATCAACCATGTCATGCCAAGGCCATCCCTTTAGTAATGAAATAAAACCCTTTCTCATAACATTCTTTAAATCAGACATCAAGAGTGATATTTCTTTTGGGCAGCAGACAGTGTTAAATAATTCGTAATTACCAACGAATATTCCACAGTTCCCTGACATTTAGCAAGTCCCCAATGGCTCCTCTGTTAATGGCCCTGCAACAGATTGAAGCACTAAACAAAAATGACAGACTCTAGGTTTTGATGAGACTTCATGCGCCCAATCTTGGCCATACAAAACAGTTTGTGTGGGGGATTAAATGAAGCAGCAAGAGTGACATGTTGATGATTAGTTGATGCAGCAGTTTCTTCTATGAAAATGAGTGGTCAATGCTGTAAGAAACATCCCTTGACTCATCTTGTCAGAATGGCCGGAAGGTACCATTATTAGCTGTAGGGGGGATCCTGCAGTAGTTTCTGTATATCTGTAATGTCACAAGGGAGTGCTCGACCCCATCCAGTCCCCCATTACAGGATTCATCACAGTCAATAATTTGGTTAAGGTCATGTGATCCAAGAGGTAGCAGTCCAGATAATGAGTTGGGCAGCAGAAACTAGTGTGATTAGCACTAATCTGAATCTGCTGGCAGACCAGAGGCTGGTTTGGGGGAAAGCAGATTCTGACAGGAAGAGCTATTGATTGACTGTATTTTTCATGGTGTGAAATGAGAGAATTTGATTCTTGCAGTTACTACAGCATCTGAGACTTTGATACTTTTAAGGGAAATCTGAAGTGCTGTCTGTTTGCTGATATAAGATACCATCACAGTTTTCTGGATATTTTTTTTCCTGTAATTTTGGATTACTACAAGCATGGAGTGAGGTACAAATATGAGTCACAGGTGAGACTATGTTTCTGTTGTATATCTGTGTCAGTATTTATATTGTTACATCTGGTAGGGTGTGAGAATGCCTGTACATCTTTACTTCTACCAACAGACATGGGCAGTTCATTGCTATACTAAGAAGCCATTACCAAAGGAAACTGTTTATACAAGTGTTCCCCACTGGAGAGACTTGACTGAAATTGTTTTATCTCTCTTTTTCATTTATATATAAAAAGATTTTTTGAAGTAGATTATGAGTGCTATGTTAAAGAATATTTGCGGCAATTGCATGGGAAGATATTTAATAGCATATTCTTTACAAGATCTGTAAGATCTTTTTATTGTATGTTCCCAACTATTGAAGCAGAAACTAGGGTGTTATGGATTGGATTACTAGAGCAAATCCCTGGACTGCATGCTTTATATGCAGCCAAACTGACAGATTTCAATTTACTAATGAGTCTCATATGAAGAAGATTCTTAGAGTCAGAGGCTGGAAAGTGCTGATATCATCTAAAGGCAATTTTTTGCTCATATGCAAGATTCGTGTTCTGGTTTATTTAATTATGCCACATGGATGGTCTATTGAACAATGCAAGAGGGTTCTGAACATAATGGCTCATGCTGTTATATTGGTCCATGATTAGAATACTAGGTAATCTTAAGACAGAGAAATTGAAGTACAAGGAAAGGGATAGCATTGCCTCTCTATGTGGACTCTTTCTAATGTGATTAATGTCCCCTCTTTGTCTTAGAGAAATGTAGGAAGACTGTAATTAAATAAGTCAAAGTAGGGGCATTGATTACTTGGGCTGTTAAGTTCATGGGGAAATCACTTCCAGAGACAGGTCGTAAAACTTGTATCACATGCATCACTCAAGGATCAAAAGACTTAACCTTTCAGGTATTTCAAGAGCGCTCACTCTGTGCTATTCACTTGGCCTGACTTACTTGATTCTCATCTGTACATTTCTGTTTAGGTTCAAAGATTTTCTAAAACAGTTGCCATGTCCTCATTTGATACCATAATACTTTGATAAGATTTTTTTGAAATTATTTTTGTGTTTTTTTTTTTTAAGTAACTATTATTCCAAGTAAGAGAGGCAAATATTCAGGTCATCTTTTAATGTTAAGAGCAAGAGAGAACAAAATCTTGTTTAGGTAATAAAACCTGAAACCAGTAGATAGGGTATACTTTAAGGTTAGTGGATCTCAGTGATCTAGACTTGGGGATGAAGAAGAGAGATGATATAGATTTTGCTTACTTACCACCAGGTGGCCTAAGTGCTCAACCTTTTTCTTCCCCTCCTACACTTCCTTGATAACTGGCAAGTAATAGTAGGACTATCCAGGAAGCCAGTCTGCATCAGATGTTATGTCTCTTTACCACAGTTGGGGTAGCTTCTACATAAACAACTGGCAATCTCCCCTCTTTTCACACACACACACACACACACACACACACACACACACACACACACACACACACACACACACACACAGTATCATACAAACTTGCATTCTCTTTTCTGAGATCTACACAGATTTGTTTGAAAAGATTAATCAGAAGTTGTTTTATAATTCTCTAAAAAACTTATATATCTTTGGCTGTTTAAGGAATACCAGATTATTTTTATAAATTAATGAAGCTGTTTATTAAACACTATCACATAACAAATAAGTATAGTGTATAGTATATCTTAAATATCATAGTTTATTATGTGCAATTTTACAATCATGGTCTTTTATTGTTTTTTTTTTTTTTTACATTACTCTCATCACCATCAGCATTACATATCTATTCTGAAACCAAAAATAGATAACAGAGAAGCATTAGGATAAGTGTTTTCAATGCATAAACATGATTCTCAAAAATTAAGTCAAAATTATTTTTAAAAGCAATTTTGTGTAAAATTACACATGCTGTCCATATTTTCATTTAATCGAATTCAAGCTTGTCGAATCAAGACAAAAACTAATTTATCTCCTAATTGCCAGTGGTGGCTGGTAGTTTTTACTGCTTAATGGGTGTTGTGGCCTTAGTCACTCTGACCAGAGTTAAATAGTTCTCTGGATCAATACGGAATTATCAAGTTTTTGCCCTATGCTTGATTAACTGAGCGATATCAGATAATTTTGGTAGAGAAATGAATCTGAATCTGGCCTTGGGAAATAAAAAAAGAGGAAAAATAGATTCCATGTGACAGGCACGAATCTTGTAGGCTGGAGGCAGAAGTTTTTAATCGAATATTATCATGATCAGAATGCTTTCATCAAAATCATTTAGGAGTATTGTTTTTTGCACATTATTGAATAAAATGTGTTTCAGTGGGACCACAATTTATATTTATCTTTACTTCAGCCATCTCTTGTGTACCTTGCAGTATGATTGTGCTAACTTTGAAATTTTGAATATCTTAATGGAAAATGCAATAAAGAAAATATATGTCTGGCAAGATTTATTCTCTTTATTCTCTTAGCAACTCATTTTGATCTCATGTTTGTAAGGTTGGCTTATGATTGGGCACAAGTTCAGTACAACATAAATGGCATACACGCTGAGCACAATTGCATTAAAACATGTTTTATTTAGATATGATTTCATGTTGACATTAACATTGCATGATTTTTCAATCTTTCTAGGGCTGCTCAGAAACTGAACATCTCCTCAAAGAAAAAGCGGCGTAGGGAGCCTCCAGAACCGGAGCCTCCTCCTTTCCCAACCAGATTTAGTGAAATAATCCACGCAAGTCCCCCGCCAGCACCACCATGTTTACTCAGAACTGTGGGAAGAATCCAAAACCCAGGCACTGGCAAGGTACACTATGGTCACGTTATAGACAATACGTTTGTCATATTCAAATGGTCAAGATATAAAAACAGGTTTCATTTATTTGCCATTTCGGTTGTCCAGAGGGAATGGCTTCCCCATTAACGGCAGCACTTAAAATGGTGCCATCCAGCAGTAGGGGATGACACTATGGAATCCCAGAGGAGGGAATTAGTCAAAAAAACTACCATCATTCATCTGGCTTGCTCCTTTATCAAGATTTTCAATAATAATACAGTCTGTTTCTTCTCTCTCTCTCTCTTTTCCCCCCCTCTGAAATCCATCTGGAAGTAGCCTGGATGATGTGTCATGTGTGCCCTATTGATCTGTTTTTATCTTGTATGGTGGTCATTGTGAATGATTGTCTTAACTGGATTGTAAGTGTAATCCCCGTATAGTTGATCAGTAACCCATGCTGGGCCAGTTCAAACCCATTGACCCACAGCCTCATCTGCATTTATTATTGACCATTATGCAGAACATGAAAAGTAATCCATGGATTTTATGCTCAGAATTAATCTTGTGGATCACTGCAGCTCGTGTGATGACAGTTATTGTTATTTTTATTGGTAAGGCTTAGACAAGGTCTCTGTGTCTGTTATCGATACAATGCTCAGCCCATTACTATTTCAGGCCTGGTCTGTTTTTCCTAGAGCAGTATCTCAACACGAGTCAATTTTAATTTCAATGGGTAGGTTAATGCTGTTTGCCATCCAACAGGACATCCAAAGAAAAATTGTAACTTTTAGTAAGAAATTGCTGCTCTGAGATACATTATCGACAATATCGTAAATCAGGCATGTATGTGAGTGGGGGATATATATATATATATATTGATCCTATGTTACACAATATGTTACTTTTGTCTGTAAAAAGATTACATGGAAAAAGTGTTTTTTTATGAGTCTAGGGAGTCTGGCTTTGTTTCCAGTGGGATAGTTCTAATATTCCCAACCTTCTTTTAAACTGATAGCTTGAATTAGGGACTAAACCGCCCATGACCACTTTCAATGTGAAAGTCAGTTTTGAAATTGGAGGGAAAAGGGCAAATCATTTATCATGAAATAATTTCATTTTCCTGTTTCTAGAAAGGGTATGGCGGCTTCTAAAACTGGAATATATTGATCCAAGACCTTTGTATAATAAAAAGACCCCTTTTCAGTCTTTCACCCTTTTGACCACCACTAAAAAAATCTATAAGAAGTCAGGGTCTTTTAATTCCCGATAAAAGTGTGTGTGGTCATAGGGAAAATGCTATAAAATATCAATATCTTCAGATCCTGTGAGTTAAATGGCTTTGATAGGGTCCCCACTGTGATTCTGGATGAAATTTCCTGAAAATGGGCGATAGTTGTTGAGATGTCAGAATTGAAATTTCCTAGACTGTGGTTTGTGAAAAGCTGCTGTTGTTTATACAGTTGACATGTCACTACCTGAGGTAAAGGTAACCTGCATTAGTAGCAATTTGAAACAAATTCTTGCCTTGTGTAGGAAGTGATACTTCACCTGATAGTGTAAATAAGTTAACAAAAATAATAATCAAACTGTCAGTGAAAGGCCAGATGGTATTTGAGTGCATTTTGAAAATGAATGGAAAAGAATTATAGGATTTTTCATGTCTTCATTTATAACGTATAATCTTTTGAATATTTATTTATTTATTTATTTATTTATTTATTTATTGAAAAATGAGTCTCTGAAGTATTATGATGAATACTCTTTAAAGGCTTTAAAATTTAATGAGCATAAACCATTCCACCCTCATACTATGTACTAGACTAGTGCACTTCCACAGCACCTGTTGTTGATATATACTGTATGTGGTAATCTTCAATTCTTACCTGTCATCAGCCTGTCAATATGTCTGACTTCCCCCCTCCACCCTTTTCTCATGGCAAGGATGGACCCCCTTCAACAGGTGTGAATGTGTGACCACACACACACACACACATCTTGACCTCTGCCCACTGTCCAGTTATTCTCACCTGACAAAAGACAAACAAGGCCCTAGGCTTGGCAGCTTAAAACAAGGAGGCTGTCAAATTACTTGGAAATTGTACCACACACTGAGAATTGATGTTCTTCATCTGACACACACTCACCTTTGGGAAATAAGATTTTGAGCCAGACTGAGGAATTTTACAACCAAAGAGTGGGTGTTCTATTGAAAAAACAAATGATTTAAGTCCTTAATCATGAAAAGAGGTGTAAGTGGGATTCATCTTTTCAATTTGTTGGATATTCTGAAAAGGGCCAAGAAATACAAGGAAAAGAGTAACAGAAATACTTATTTCTTTCTAATGCAGTTTCAATCATCCACTTTTAAGCCTCCCATTTTATTAGCCCCACTAACCTTTCTCAACCCCATTGATGACTTAAAGGAAATTGTATGTCTCTCTGTTTGCCTTTCATCTACATCTCTTCCTAAGAACAGTGTTTGCTACCAGGTGATTACCAGGAAAAGGGAAAGCAGAAATAAAAAGAGGAGGTTATTGTTAGTATCATGCTAACTTGGAAGTGCACTCAGCATAAAACTTGTAATCACCATCTATAATGAATTTGAAAAGCCTAACAGGCCCTCCGAAGAGTAGACAAATAATGCCCAATTTCCATGTCTCCTAGAAAATGGTTCCAAAAACACTGCAGCAGACCATGAGGCTTCCAGAGAAATTACCTGGAGACACAGCCAGGCCTACCTTGATGAGATTCAATTAGAAAAGTTGCTCAATTTTGGCCCATGATTTGGGATAGAGTTTCAGCTCTAGGGGAGAATTCCGATTCCCTTTGGACGGATAAAGATAAATGACAATAATAAGATTTGCATTCCAATTCAACTGATACTTGTGTGTTGAAATAGAAAATAGAGCCCACCTGTCATTAGGCCCCAGAGAGCCCAGCCCAGTAATCAGGCTTACATCAGTACAAACATGTCAGAAGAGTTGGATTTAGACTGTATATTTAAGCAATTAGTGGATGCCACAGTGTAAACTCACTGTGGCTCAGCGTAGTTATATATCCCTACTTTACTCCTGTGGATATGTGTTATGCGATACAACTATCATAGCTTACTGTCACTGCAAGACATGTTGTATCTCGCAGATTTTTGTGTTATTTTGGACATATTGATGAATCTGGTATTATTTTTTTTGCCAGGTAAAACCTAAATTTAGATTTGGAATTTTTTCATGTGAGAAAAAACTTTCTAGGAGGAGAAAGTTGAAACAAAGAATTACAAAGAGTAAATATTACAAGTATTAAAATATTTTTAAAGAATAAGCATTGATCGTCAAATACTATTGTACATTTTGTATTTTATTTATTATAATGTTTGTTTTCCATTTGGCAATATATTACAGAAGATACTCATGATCATCCTTCCTAGCAACTAGTACATCTTATGAAACGGAAGCCATAGTAAACATTGAATCCTACTTTAAGCTTTGATGAAATGGCCATGCAAATCCAATTTTCCTGCCATTGGCCCCTGAAATTTCTAACCATAGTGCATTACATAGAGCTATACCTCAGAACTATATAAATCAATCATTAAAATCCCAGAGGAGAGGCTTCTCATAAGTACAATTGAAGACCGAAATTACTGATTTCTAAGGTGTTGGGGAAGTGGTGCACTAAACAGTATGAAGAACTAATGACTGTCATGAACGCATATTGTGTGGTGTAATACGCTCAGCTGCTTTGGATTTAGATTTTATTGTCATTTGGTAATTTTGCATAATGATTGAAATATAAGTAGCATTCCCATCAGAAAAGAGCCCTAGTGATGTGCACTGAATAGCAAACATTAGTTAGTGAAGGGAGGTAATTAATTACTGGAATACATTTCATTGGAGCGAGTAGGAGTTAATGCAACGAAGGATCATTATTGCCGTCTGGTTGCTTCAATACCTCCTTCTCCATCTCAGCTTTTTACATCAGCACTAATTCACTTCCATGAAAAGACAAGATTGTGCCTTGAAAATAAAAATGAAATGTCTAATTTTTACCCCATTTGTAGACTATTTGCTGAGGCACCACTTCTGCCACCAGACAGGAAATTGCACTTATTGTCATTTAATGATTATACAATAATATTTGCAGTGTGTCTTACATTGTAAGATGGCTATTTATAGTAGGTTAAAACTTGGAATCTCCATCTACATCAGTATTGATTAACAATGTGATGTTGCTTACCCTGCAGTCACATCATCTGATCATAGTACGTAAAATGGTCATTCAGTCATGAAGATAAAACAAATCGATGTAAATGTCGTCATTCTCCTCATTTCATGTATTGTGCAAATATTTGAGTGGATGAAGCCTTCAGACTGCCTGCCAGTCGCAGGAAACAGGAGCTGTCAGTTTGAAGCTGTCTTTCTCCTGGTATTTAACAGGAATAAATTGTTAATTAGGCATACAGTGCAAGCTAATGAAGCACAGTTGATGAATAGAGAGAAGAAACGGCTGTGTACAGTGGGAGATTTAATACTTGCACAAACATGCTCAAATATGAAGTGTGCCACCCCAGCACTTCGGTTTACACCTACTGCCTTATTGCCATTAATTTATTGCAATGAGTTTGTATCGTAGAGATTCAGAGTCCTCCAAGAAGTGTATTTATTGCAGTGTTTGCCACAACATTTATCAGCAGCCACTTTTTGCAACTTAAATAAGTCTCATAAGTCATGTTGGATGAAGGCTAAGACCCAAAGTCAACGTTTCTGGCATTGATTTAATTTCCAGTAAGCTTCATGCGATTGCCCACACCCTATTGCTTCTCCAGATTTCCACTGGGAAACAAGAAAGCTTTCATTGTACACAAAAATATGGCTTCACTCTTCTACTAGCATAAACCATGGGGCTTGTCTACAACATAAAAAGGCAGGCATTGTCTGTGTCCAATTCTGGCTTGAGTGTTATGTGTGCAGGAAATCCAAATTATGACAAGTGGAAATTGGAACCAAAAGTGAATTACATATCATAGCTCACATTGAAGCATTTGAAGCAGTGTTTCTATTTCCCATAGATTTCAGTTTCATTATTTACAACAAGTTCTGTTTTTTATTAATATCAAAGGATATTAAAAAAAGAGCACGTTAAGAGCTGATTTTACTCATTTCAATTATTTGCACCAATGAAGGTAAAAAAAAGATATATAGTCAGGGCCAGATTATGTGGTTAAAATCTAAATGTGACAAGCAACTGGACTTCTTAACTTGCCACACCACATTATGGACAAGCATGTCTACATGCAAACTTGTTTACTGTTCAACATAATGCAGGGCCATTAATTCTCTTTTCAGATAATAACCCTACTGTTTTTTGCCAAACTGTCCAGCCCAGCAAAAGAATACCTTTGCTTACTAGTAGTGTGCTTTATATTCACACTCTACCAAATATCATCTTCATATTTTAAAGAGATGGTTCTAAGCTGCAGGAAGTTGTCCAAATATTGATGGGATTCAGGAAAATTATGGAGATAGTTAGCATTTAGCTCTTGAGGCTATGTGAGATATACATTGATCCAGGCCTTATCAATCAGAATCAAGATTGTTATAAAGTTAATTTGGAATGCATTCAGCTTGTTATGTAGTATCTTTATTGATTGGCTCTTTATGGACTCTTTTTTTCTACAGGATTCATCCTGAAGATTTAAAAAGGAGCCCTGTTAGTGAATGATAATGAAAAAAATGTTCTGAAAAGGCATGCTGTTGACAGGCCCTGTAGTCCCTCAATTCTAGCCATGTTGAACCAAGATGAATGTTGAGAAAAAAGCTAGAAGCAACATTCTTGAAGGTTGATTTTTCTGGATTTTAAGCATTATGCCAATTTTTTGACAATAGCATTCTTACATTTACAACACAAGTCCCTAGAAAATTCCTTTTGATCTCCTACAAGGGATCTCAATTACATCCTTCAATATTTTACTTGAAGTCTTGCCAGTGTCTTAAGAGAATGCTTTCTGCTGAGAAGACGTTATGGATACTTCAACGGTATCAAATTAGTACTGTCTGTTACCATGGATATTTTGCTTTTTTTTTCTGTCTTTGGATATTTCAAATGAATAATATGTGGTTTGCATGTTTTAGGTGAAGGTAATGCTGAGGATTGCTCCCACGGATATCAGCAACGATACTGGTTCTATCCTCAGTTCAGATCCTCGCAAGAAACAAGTGACTGTGTACGACCCCTCTACCAGTGGCTATGCTACCTCAGCTCATCGCAGGACTGGGGCTGCGGCACCCAAGATGTTTGCTTTCGACCAAGTCTTCTCACAAGATGACTCCTTGGTAAGGGAAATGCTATGTACTATAGGAATAAAGAAAAATTTGTGTTATCAATTCATGTTTTTGATTTTTTTCTTTCTTTCTTATCTATTTTTTCATGTAAAGAGTAAAGTAGTTGTCTGGTAGATTCAGAAGTAATGGTTTTGATATCACCCTTTTTTTATTAATAAGTCATAAATTATGTATTTGATCATATTTTCAGATCTGCCATACTTTGAATCCAGTCCTTCAAGGTTATTGCATTGATAAGTCATAAACTGTGAGTTTTGCTTTAATTTTAGACTGAGATCTGCTCAAGCAGTCTGTCAGATATCATTCAGTCTGTTGTGAATGGAGCAGATGGTTGCCTCTTCTGTTATGGACATTCTAAACTAGGTAAGTAGCTAAAACATAAGGTCTACATGGGCTCAGAATGAAACTAATTATTTTTTATGGCTAATATCGCTCTTTTCTTGTTTGACTTTCCCACCTTTTTCTTACCTTATCTTGCTCTGAGTAATTGATAAAGTACAGCTGCAGTATTGGCAATATTTAAGTACGTTTGAGGTGTAGGTGTTTAAAGGCTCTGTATTGTGCACAAAGGCTCTGTATTTTACCGAATTGGTAAAAGCAAGCCCCCCCCCCCCCCTCCCTCCCAACACCATATTTACACCCTACCTCACATTTGCCCCAGGAGAACACTTCATTTTCGTAACAAGATACCAGGAACAATTCCACTGATACTCTCTGAGTTATTGCCTTTGGTCACGGCACACTCGTTACGCCATTCAAAGAAATTTGTTTACCTGTCATGAGTTGAAATTTATAGCCATCATCAGGAATTAACACCTGAGTAATAATCCCTTGAGCTGACAACCGCCGTTTATCATGGACCTCACCTGAAGTCGGAAATAAATCATACACCTTTCAAACTGGACAGAAACTATGAAATGCTGGGGTGTCAACAGTTGACTGTCATTTTCCATCTCAATTCTGTACAAATTGCAAGTGTGCACAATCTTTTCATAAAGGAAGCCATTTTTTATGCCTATATGAGAGAGAGAGAGTGTGTGTGCGTGTGCAACTTTTGTCAAGTTACTGAAGCAGAGAAGTCATAATGGCATGACATCTAGATGAGCTTGTGGTAGCTGGTAATGAGGCTGTGATGGGCAGGTAGACATACCACCTGTGTGCCACGCCTGAGGATGTACCTGTCCTGACATTCAGGTGAAGAGGTGGTCCCCATTGCCTAACATAGCCTGGGTTCCTATACTTGGGATTAAAGTATTATCACCCAAGCATGTTTGGGTGGTTGGTTGCCATATGCTTGTTTGTACCCAGTAATGCATCTTGTATTGGCTCACCACAGGCCAATTTTCTAATCTGTAAATTGGAAGTTTACTCTGTCATTTGTATTTTTTCTTCCTCTCTTTCTCTCTTGGTTCTCAAATATAATCATCTTTTGTTCCTGAAGAGAATTGCTTCAAGGTGCAACCTGACTGGACAGTCAGCACCCACTGCAGTAGACCACCCAGACGAAATCATTCAAAAAATATTTGTTGAATGAATTAGGATATCACTTCAGATACTGTCTCATTGTCCTTCCAACAGCTGGCGTGAGGCAGGGGGAGATAAACAGGAGGCGGGGTAGCACAGTAATTAATTGTGTCATTTATTTTGATACCCAGCACTATTTTATCCTCTATGTGTGAAGATGAAAAAATGTGTGCATCAGATTAAGACTGGGAAATTAAAAAGAGTGAACTTATGACTCATATTCATAGATGTTTCGCCAGTTAAGTAATAGGATGTGCTATAGCTTTGGGTTCAGACCACCCTCTGAGATGGAATTCTCTCTGGCTGTGAAAATTGTGTGGTTCTTGAAAGGTTCTATCATCTCTCGAGTGATTTGCCATCTTGGCGAAAAGATCAACACAGAATTTATTAAGTGAATGTTCATACTAAAACATAGCACTAGCACCAGATTGGTTAAAAAATAATACATTTTTTTGAATAAAATGTCTTTTGTTTTGTATTAGATTGCATTTTTGATTATATGAACTAGATTTTATGTAAACAAGGTTAAATTACAGGCAAATTAAGTCAAATAAAGATTCAGTTCTCACTTTAATAGGGTATTAACAAAATAGGTTTCACAGATGTAAATAGAAAAGCATGGGTTGACAGTGTATAGGGCATCTTATAAAAGAAGAATTGATATTTTGCATGTTTGTAAATTGACACCTCATGTTATGTGTATTGTAAATTGCATGGCACCCCACATTTTTTTCAGTATGAAAATTAAGGTCTTTTAATGAAGCAACTGGCATCGTGCTTGTTAGAAATTGGAAGAGATACCATCAGCGTGACAAAAATTTGAGGATCTTCCTCTAAATTTGATGCTCCGTACATTCAGGCCTTTATCTACAGTGATTCTTGTTCAGAAGATGTCAATGCACTTTCGTGAGCTTTAAGTAATAAGCACACAGGATTCTTAGTACATAAGACCAGATACAAAGTGCAGTAAAAGTGCCGAGGATTGAAATAAACTAAAAAAAAAATATGTCTCCATGTTGAACCTTTTCAGACCTCTCAAGGGAATCATCATGTGACAACACATTAAAGGGGAGAAAATGATCAGTTATTGATTTTCTGTTCAAAGCTTCCCTGTGGTGCAGGCATATTTCTACAGAGACCTAAGATATTGTTGTAAAGCATTCAACAACACATTAATAGTAGTAATCTAGTCACTTCTCTGGCACCAACCCTGTCTGTAAGACCAGTTATCTTTGTTAGCGTCTCCATATAGCTTTTGGCCTGTTTTTATTTTTCCTATCATGATAGATGATATCCTTTAGCCGTGTCCATTGGGTGTTCCTAGACAATAATGAGAAATGAAGGTTTTATCATGGTTCGCAGCATAGCTGTCTCCTACAGGCACAGTACATAGACAGTGAGGCGATAGAAGTCCTTTGGAGTGTTATGAGATAAAGATGCAAAATACTGAAACCTCACTTAACTTGTGATATGACAATTCGAAAAGGTTTTCCTGGAAGTTCGGTCAAGAGGTATGGAGAGTTGCACAGAGATGCAGATCTGCAATTTAGTTTTGAATGTTGCAGACTGTGGTGACAGGTTGTTTTTTCGGTAAATTGAACAATTGCGATCTTACCTGATGCTTTGACTAGGTGAAAATGGAATTTCTGAGAACTTGTAGCAGGTTTAGAGATCTCTGCAGATTTGACATGTTATCATGCGTGTGCTTCAATCACACTTCACACGCTGTGATACACTTTCATATTTCAACCAAGATAGAATTTCACATTTTTCTTTTAATTAAAACAAGTATTCCCTCGTGATCATGTTACAAATTCTAAGTAATCAAATCAGAGTCCCCAAGTAATGAAGACTGACATTTCCTAAAATTCAAGGGAATTAAATTAGTGGCAGTTTGCATGACATGGTCGTTCATGCTGAGATGACTCGACACAATAATGAGAGCTTACTCTTCATATTGACACTAATTACTCAGCTGATTAATTGAATCAAGTTAAACAGTGCTAGTCAAAAGAAGGATTGCTTTTTATTGTGCATTATTTTTCCTCTCGTGCTCTCTTCCCTCATCTGTCCAGTGTCTCTTGGGATGTAGTTAATCAGTATTGAAAATAACTTAAAACTCACGAAAGTGCATTGAAATCTGCTGAACAAGAATCACTGTAGCCATAAAGGCCTTAATGTAGTGAACATCAAATTCAAAGGAATTCAGTATTTGCAACATGTCCATTTTAATATCTTTGTGTGAAGTGTATTTCTTTTAGATAAATAGGAAAATATAGTGGTGTAATATCCAGTTTATATGAACTGTAAAAAGTGTATGTTTCTTAAATAATGGTAAAAATTGCACAGTGAATTTGATCAAGTACCATTACTGTCACTCAAGAGTGGTTTCTACCAAAACCACAAGTCTGTTATGAAATTAAGCAGATCAATGGACCTGATATTTGGGACTGGTTGTCAGGTTGAATGATTCTATTAAGCTGATGCTTATTGATATGGTCTGACAGAAATAGAAGTTTGATACAATACTGCCAGTATTTAAGGGAAATAATTTGACAAGGCAGGTAATCAACAGCTTAGGTTCAAACCCAGTTATCTGTCCAAATAATATAACACCTGGTATATGTGAAGTCTGAGTTAGCCTCACTGAATTTAATATCCCCTCAATCCAATCTTGTTCCTATATGATATTCAGTGCTCTGTTTTAAGATAGCACATTGTCTCTTGTCCTTGGCCATCACCCTTATGTTATCTGTCTATTGCATGGCCTTTAATTTCCGTTCCTTTTTGTGTGTCATAGGAAAAAGCTACACCATGATTGGCAAGGATGGTTCCCAGCAGACCCTGGGGATAGTGCCCTGTGCGATAGCCTGGTTATTTCGTCTCATTAATGAGCAAAAGGACAAGACTGGGGCCAGGTTCTCAGTGAGAGTGTCAGCAGTAGAGGTTGCAGGAAAGCAGGAAACCCTCAGAGACTTACTGTCACAAGTTGCAAGTAGGTGGCCTGAAATACATTATACATATTTTTCACACTGACCATTAATGCAGTATATCAGAAATGAATTAAAGGTGCTATATTGTATTGGTTTCAGAATTGTTAAATTTTCAGTCTGAAAAAAGACATTTTTGCAACTGCCAACTTTTAATACATGCAATTTGCCGTGGAATGAATATGGAAAACAAAGACAGTATATGTCTACATGATTAGCAGCTACTAAAAGTGAAGCTGAGAACATACAATAAGGGTCATGTGTTTGAATTGTTGTATGTTTGCAGGTGCAGAGACTGGCAGCAATACCTCCCCTGGTGTGTATCTCAGAGAGGACCCAATCTGTGGCACACAGCTAGAGAACCAGAGTGAACTTAGGGCTCCAACGGCAGACAAAGCAGCCTTTTATTTAGATGCCGCATGTGCAGCCAGAACAACACCTGGTATGTCAGCTTTTTTTTGTCTGAATGGTTTTTTTACTTGTATCTCCAGTCAGAACAGTACCAATACTGCCATCTATTGGGAGAAGTCAAAATTAAGCTATAGTAAAAAAAAAAGTACTAGGGATTCACAGTTGTATTGATTTATGTGTGATGTACATTTTATAATAATGAAAAAGGATTTTCTAAAGAGCTTAGGAAATTTTAGGTAATGCTAGACATCTGTGCCTCACACTTATCTAATTGATATAGCACGGTGTTGTGCCAGAGATTATGTCTGATGATTGGAGCGTGGTCTGTTTCTGTTTGCTTGTGAAAGTTAAAATTGGATTAGGAAAGGAATTGATTGGTGATCGGGCAGACTGGTAGTGCTCTTGTGATTACCATTTTTTCTTTTCTTTTTTTCCTTTTTCACCCCAAGTATGTTTCACTCCATCTGTTATCATTGCACTTGAATTGCAAAGAAAACTGTCCTCCAATCTTTGCTTTAATGTTTAAAAATTATTAGAATTTATATATTTTTGCTTTAACAATTGTAGATAATGAAGAGGAGAGCCGTACCTCCCACTTTTTATTCACCCTTCATGTATACCAGTACAGGGTGGAAAAAAATGGAAAGACTGGGAGTGGAGCTGGAGGTAAGATCAAATCAAACCTTTTGTGAAAGATATTCTGTAATATACATCCAAACAACATTAATATTCAGATTACATCATCTTTTCCATTTGCGAAGAATTTAAAAGTTTCATTATTTTGATAGTTTTTAAATAAATTCTGACATCATTAGGTTGGTTTTTATAATTTATTGGTGAGAACAAGTAATCTCAACCTCATTATTTTTACATTGATTACTTATTTACCTCCCCAGTGGCTGGTGGTCGTAGTCGCCTACATCTGATAGATCTTGGCAGTGGCTGCAAGGCAAAAGACAGCAGTGGCCAGGCCCTGAGTTTGTCAGCACTGGGCAATGTTATACTAGCCCTTCTCAATGGACAGAGACATGTGCCACACAGGTATCATTTCTTTTATTCTCATCTGGATATAAATGGCAAACTGGTGTTAAATCTATTGTTAGTAATATATATATATTTGCACAAAAATTGTGTCATATTTGAATGGCTGGATACATATCACATAAGTACTATTTCTTTCTTTTTTATATCCATTTAAGAATTTTTTTATTTCAGTATTTTAGTTTGTTTATAAATGAGTTAAATCTCATACCAACAAAGTCAATTGCACTCATGTATTTTCATATTTAAATGGACATATTTTGTGTTTCATTTTTCCAGAGATAGTAAACTGACACAGCTGCTGCGAGAGGCTCTGGGCAGTCTGTCCTGCAGGGCATGTATGATTGCCCATGTGTCCCCAACCATCAGGAACTACAATGAAACACTGCAGGTGATCCAGCTGGCTGCCAGGATACACAGGATGAGGAGAAGGACAAAAGTCAAAGTAGGTTAAGAAAAGAAAAGTAACGGTTAAAGTTCAATTGTGAACATGTGTTCATGTATTTCTTTTTCAGTATATCTGATTTTGAACATATTTTCCTTGACTTAAATATCATCAGCAAGACAACTGTTCTGTTTGACTTCCAACAAAACAATGTTTTTACCTTTATGCTATAATGACTAAAATGCATTTGTCTATGTCTCTTCAGTTCTCCAGCAATAGCTCAGATGACAGCAGCTCCTGTGACGACTCTGGCTTTGGGCGTCGTATGAGACCTGGAATACGTATGGGAACACTGCGTGAGGGAATCTATTACTCCAATGCTGTTGGTTCTACATCTGGAGAGGACTACACGTCCAGCAGTGAGCAGTCCTGTGACACTGTCATATACACGGGCGCCAATGGTCAGGCTTTGAGCGACCCAGATTTGACTGATAACGAGCGTCCCCCTGTGAGTGTTCNTCCTAGCCGTAAATGCCTTAATGTAGTGAACATCAAATTCAAAGGAATTCAGTATTTGCAATATGTCCATTTTAATATCTTTGTGTGAAGTGTATTTCTTTTAGTTAAATAGGCAAATATAGTGGTGTAATATCCAGTTTATATGAACTGTAGAAAGTGTATGTTTCTTAAATAATGGTAAAAATTGCACAGTGAATTTGATCAAGTATCATTACTGTCACTCAAGAGTGGTTTCTACCAAAACCACAAGTCTGTTATGAAATTAGGCAGATCAATGGACCTGATATTTGGGACTGGTTGTCAGGTTGAATGATTCTATTAAGCTGATGCTTATTGATATGGTCTGACAGAAATAGAAGTTTGATACAATACTGCCAGTATTTAAGGGAAATAATTTGACAAGGCAGGTAATCAACAGCTTAAGTTCAAACCCAGTTATCTGTCCAAATAATATAACACCTGGTATATGTGAAGTCTGAGTTAGTTTCACTGAATTTAATATCCCCTCAATCCAATCTTGTTCCTATATGATATTCAGTGCTCTGTTTTAAGATAGCACATTGTCTCTTGTCCTTGGCCATCACCCTTATGTTATCTGTCTATTGCATGGCCTTTAATTTCCGTTCCTTTTTGTGTGTCATAGGAAAAAGCTACACCATGATTGGCAAGGATGGTTCCCAGCAGACCCTGGGGATAGTGCCCTGTGCGATAGCCTGGTTATTTCGTCTCATTAATGAGCAAAAGGACAAGACTGGGGCCAGGTTCTCAGTGAGAGTGTCAGCAGTAGAGGTTGCAGGAAAGCAGGAAACCCTCAGAGACTTACTGTCACAAGTTGCAAGTAGGTGGCCTGAAATACATAATACATATTTTTCACACTGACCATTAATGCAGTATATCAGAAATGAATTAAAGCTGTTATGTTGTATTGGTTTCAGAATTGTTAAATTTTCAGTTTGAAAAAAGAAATTTTTGCAACTGCCAACTTTTAATACATGCAATTTTCCGTGGAAAGAATGTGGAAAACAAAGACAGTATATGTCTACATGATTAGCAGCTACTAAAAGTGAAGCTGAGAACATACAATAAGGGTCATGTGTTTGCATTGTTGTATGTTTGCAGGTGCAGAGACTGGCAGCAATACCTCCCCTGGTGTGTATCTCAGAGAGGACCCAATCTGTGGCACACAGCTAGAGAACCAGAGTGAACTTAGGGCTCCAACAGCAGACAAAGCAGCCTTTTATTTAGATGCCGCTTGTGCAGCCAGAACAACACCTGGTATGTCAGCTTTTTTTGTCTGAATGGTTTTTTTTACTTGTATCTCCAGTCAGAACAGTACCAATACTGCCATCTATTGGGAGAAGTCAAAATTAAGCTGTAGTATAAAAAAGTACTAGGGAATTCACAGTTATATTGATTTATGTTTGATGTACATTTTATAATAATGAAAAAGGATTTTCTAAAGAGCTTAGGAAATTTTTAGGTAATGCTAGACATCTGTGCCTCACACTTATCTAATTGATATAGCACAGTGTTGTGCCAGAGATTATGTCTGATGATTGGAGTGTGGTCTGTTTCTGTTTGCTTGTGAAAGTTAAAATTGGATTAGGAAAGGAATTGATTGGTGATTGGGCAGACTGGTAGTGCTCTTGTGATTACCATTTTTTCTTTTCTTTTTTTGCTTTTTCACCCCAAGTATGTTTCACTCCATCTGTTATCATTGCACTTGAATTACAAAGAAAACTGTCCTTCCATCTTTGCTTTAATGTTAAAAAATTATTAAAATTTATATTTTTGCTTTAACAATTGTAGATAATGAAGAGGAGAGCCGTACCTCCCACTTTTTATTCACCCTTCATGTATACCAGTACAGAGTGGAAAAAAATGGAAAGACTGGGAGTGGAGCTGGAGGTAAGATCAAATTAAGCTTTCTGTGAAAGATATTCTGTAATATACATCCAAACAACATTAATATTCAGATTAAATCATCTTTTCCATTTGCTAAGAATTCATTATTTTGATAGTTTTTAAATAAAGTCTGACATCATTAGGTTGGTTTTTATTATTTATTGTAGTGGAACAAGTAATCTCAAACTCATTATTTTTACGTCGATTACTTATTTACCTCCCCAGTGGCTGGTGGTCGTAGTCGCCTTCATCTGATAGATCTTGGCAGTGGCTGCAAGGCAAAAGACAGCAGTGGCCAGGCCCTGAGTTTGTCAGCACTGGGCAATGTTATACTAGCCCTTCTCAATGGACAGAGACATGTGCCACACAGGTATCATTTCTTTTATTCTCATCTGGATATAAATGGCAAACTGGTGTTAAATCTATTGTTAGTAATATATATATATATATATATATATATATATATATATATATATATATATTTGCACAAAAATTGTGTCATATTTGAATGGCTGGATACATATCACATAAGTAATATTTCTTTCTTTTTTATATCCATTTTTATTTCAGTATTTTAGTTTGATTATAAATGATTAATATAGGAGTTAAATCTCATACCAACAAAGTCAATTGCACTCATGTATTTTCATATTTAAATGGACAAATTTTGTGTTTTATTTTTCCAGAGATAGTAAACTGACACAGCTGCTGCGAGAGGCTCTGGGCAGTCTGTCCTGCAGGGCATGTATGATTGCCCATGTGTCCCCAACCATCAGGAACTACAATGAAACCCTGCAGGTGATCCAGCTGGCTGCCAGGATACACAGGATGAGGAGAAGGACAAAAGTCAAAGTAGGTTAAGAAAAGAAAAGTAACAGATTACAGTTCAATTGTGAGCATGTGTTCAGGTATTTCTTTTTCGGTATATCTGATTTTAAACATATTTTCCTTGACTTAAATATCATCAGCAAGACAACTGTTCTGTTTGACTTTCAACAAAACAATGTTTTTACCTTTATGCTATAATGACTAAAATGCATTTGTCTGTGTCTATTCAGTTCTCCAGCAATAGCTCAGATGACAGCAGCTCCTGTGATGACTCTGGCTTTGGGCGTCGTATGAGACCTGGAATACGTATGGGAACACTGCGTGAGGGAATCTATTACTCCAATGCTGTTGGTTCTACATCTGGAGAGGACTACACGTCAAGCAGTGAGCAGTCCTGTGACACTGTCATATACACGGGCGCCAATGGTCAGGCTTTGAGCGACCCAGATTTGACTGATAACGAGCGTCCCCCTGTGAGTGTTCCTATAATGCCAGGTGGAACAAGGATGCGCTTGCCAAGCGGTAGTGGGTCAGGCTCGGACAGTGAAGTGGGAGAAAGGAGGCCACTTAGTCGATCAGGAATAAAACTTGGTGCTTCAGCCTCAAGATTGCCTATAAAAAATGTGAACAAGTCTCCCAATTTGGCGGAGAAACAACCTGCAAGTACGAGTGAGGCCTCACCTCAGGCTGTACAGCTACCTCGCAAAATTCGTCCTCCAACACCATCGAAACAGTCCTCAGAGGGGGCATCCTCCAGAAACCCTGGCCACAGGAACTGGCCCAAACCTCCAGCATTTCGTGAGGGCACAGACCATGGTGGAATCCAGGGGGAACAGTGGGTGGATGGGCCTGGTGCTGCCATCTATCCAGACACAGGGAGACAAGAACACTGGGTTGATGGGCCCAAGGCTTTCACTGTGATGACACAAAAAGAGAAAATAGACTCTGTCCGAGAGGACCAATCATCCAGAGCAGTAACCAGTAAGTCTACAACATCGAGGTCTCACATACCTGGGAGTAAGACTAGTTCTGGTGACTTGAGAGCTCACGTGAGCAAACTCAGAGCTCCCAGCAGTGGAGATAAAGAACGAGGGGGGCATCATGCTAATGTAAAAGAGAGAACTGCACAGGGACCTGGTTTGTGTGAGGAACCTTCTCTCTCTAGTGATACTGAAATCAATGGAAATGACAATGTAATCGAACAAGTGCCTGTGTTGCCTACACCCACACAGAAGTTTGGATCACCCCTCAAAAATCCTCGTTTAGAGCAAATTAAGGAGGAGAGGGTGACTGCCCCATGTGCCCATAGTGATGATAATGACAGTGCACATGCACACACACTAAGGCAAGTAGCCATGCAAACAAAAACTGAGGTGTGTGCTGTATCAAA